ACTGTGTCGACCACATATGCACATGGTAGTAGGGGCCAGATTAAGGTCGCACGTATCGCACTCTTGGAAGTGCGTTCGACTCAGTCGATCGATCAATGCTGTTCGAAATACTTGTGTGGAAAGATGTTCCCATGAAATAGGTGAACATTTTATGTGACCTGCACTCGAGAATCACAGGCAGCATCAGAGTCTAAGGTGATTTGTCGGATATTTGTTCGACAACAAGTGGTGTTCGCCAGCATTGCCCAATTTCCGCGTTTTCGTTCAACTTCGTCGTGGACTTCATCATGAAGTGTTCCCTTGCGGAATTTCAAGCTCCTGCCCGGTGGAAAAGTCATTGACCTTGATTATGTGGACGACACTGTCCTGCTGCTTAGCAACGTTAGAGTGAATCAGTCAACTAATGATATTCTGTCTGGATTGGTCACATCATTTGGCATGCGCTTCCCACCTCCAAAGTGCAGTGTTGTTGCAGGACCAACAGTCACTTGATGAGCCTTTTACCCTCGATAGCGAGGTAGTTGATCAACTCACTTGACAGTTGCATTGTTGATGCCGCCTTATCTTTGCACGATAGCCAACTGTTTGTAACGGTATGTTGTTGACAAGGTGCAGATGCCTTGGCACATAACGCTTGCTTAGAGCATTCAGGTTATATGCCATGTCCCGTTTCTCTGCCAGCTATTGTTCTTTGTTTCGTAGGTCATTGTGAACCTGATGGGGCTATAATGGAAAACAGATACTTCGTAGACAGCTGGATAGTTTCATCACAACCTAGAAAATTCAGAGCCGGATGGAAGGCACGCCTCTTACATCTTGCGGCCAGCTGGACGGCGTTTCTCCAGCTGCCGATGGAGAACCAAGCCTTAAGTGACTGGAAGGATGACGTGAAAGCGCACAGGACATAGCTGCTAAACAACACTGAAGACGAAGTGGGGAGGCAAAGAAAAGAGAAGATGACAATGGCATCCTAGACCAAGCTCGAAGACATCACCTGTCAAGTTGCTACAGAGACTCTGACACGCTACACATAGTCCTATGGACACACTGAGACTGAATACTCAATGGTGCTAAGTTAGGTACATAAGTCAAACTGGTCGACGTCCCAGAAATGCATCCGAATTTCGGATATCGCAAGTTAGGCGTTCAGTAGGCATTTGCCATGAAGGTGTGAAGCAGCTTCGTGCTAGTTAATCTAGGAATAGGAAACTTGCAGAACGTCTATAAAGCAGAGAATGAAAGAGATGACGGGTGTACGTAGTAGATGATAATCACCGACTGCCAATTTCGAAAGACTTGGGAAAATGTTTATAGTGATAAAAGGGAGTGGGAATTTATAGGGAATAAATTGGTGAAGAATTCGAGGAAGCTTGTAATGTGTGTGGGTTAGCAACATACTGTTCACTCCGTTTCTACTAAGTGACAAGAGTAGCGGGCCGTTCGCAAACAGCTGAAGGGAACGCGGAGAAATTCAAAAGGGAAAACAGAGGAAGACGTACATCGAATGCGATTGTTATCTAAGAGCAGGGTTAAAGCATACCTGGAGTAAAGCAAGGCCGAAATCGCCGAGTGAATTTGTGAGAACCTCGTTAGCTGTGAGCTTGCACTCCCGCCACATTGGAAATCCCTTCTTCTTGTAATCAGGCAAAGAAGTCACGCCTGGCCACTTATCCTCACATGGTGTGCCAAGAAGGCGAAAAATGCGAAATAATTGGTCAATCTCAGAGTCGCCGCGAAAGAGGGCCTCTTTAGTGGCGACTTCGGCGAATATGCAGCCCATTGACCAAATGTCGACAGCACAAGAGTAGCGTTGAGCGCCAAGAAGGATCTCGGGAGCGCGGTACCACAAAGTGACAACCTTCACAAACAGGAGCAAAATCGGAGGTGGAAAAAATTAAGCAGATGTAGAACGGACAAAAGGTGGAACGCATTGTGTGATGCCTATCAACATACATGAAACAGAAAGGCGTGACCCAAGCAAAACGGACAATCGGTCAATTTGTTTGATTTCCGTTTCGGCCAGAGTGATAGTGAAGCTGTAAGCTGCTGGAGTCGAAAAACCTCTTGACACCAATACAGCAGAGTTCAATGAAAGGGTGCATCACTAACTTGCTGGTGACGCGCTATGGATGATTTCAAGGGTTAAACAGGATGAAGTCAGTCGATGTGATCAAGGTCAACCATAGGGTTCTCCCACACACGCTGAGGATGTACGGTGTTGATGGCTAACTGCACCAGTGAACCAGCGACTTCCCTATTGGACAGAAGTGAAGGGTACAGGTGGATGATCATCAAACTAACGGGCACCCCTTCACTAGTGGCGCACCCCAAAACACAATACTGGGGCCAACTTTGTTCCTGATCCATATAAACGAGGTAACTCAACTTCTTCGGTCACAGTTAGCCTTATTTGTAGACAAGCTGAGGATTTGGAGTAATTGCTACTCAAACGGCTGTGACGTAGTTCAGCACGACCACCACCGCTCATACAAGTGGTCTGCAGATACCGATTTCCCATTTAACTCAGTCAAGTTGTTATCTGTAAGCCTGGGGAAAAGTAGTGATGGGGGTACCTACATTCCGGCCTGCCAACTGCTACATCTCACACATACAGTGAAGGAATTAGGCGTACTGTGACACTGCGATTTGAAGTCCATGGACAACATGAACAAACCACGTTGAAACGCATAATTTGGGCGTTCAGACACAACTTCTGCACTTGATCTGAGGAAAATGCTACTTGTTCAAGCACGGCTCATTTGCCTATTGTCAGACCATCCGTAGTAAAGTGCAAAACTAGGACGCGTTCAGCGTGTTGTTATCAGGCTCACCCTCGGTTTACGGGGTATGTGGAACGAATATCGAATAAGATCGTGCACCCAATGGTCTCATCGTTTTCAATGTGACCTTATAATGACGCACCGGATATTGCATCTAGGCGACTTCCCTACGCTGAGTTACCTTCTGCACGTGCGCACCAAACAGCACTTGTGGATACCGGTACAAGCTTGTAGTACCGAATATGAAACAGATAGCACACCTTCAATACTTCCATCGTCGAGTGGTGAAATACTGGAATAGTTTGCCAAGACACTAGTTGAGACGACATCGGTGACAGAAATTAAGAAATTCGTGGAGGTCCACTACGCGGATCACACATTTCGCGATGGCCTCACACGTGAACAGGAAATCGCACAGCCGAATTGTCAATAATGTGCAGTAATAGACGACGCTAATCTACGTGAGGGCACGGTACAACCTTATTGGAGCAACACAGATGCATATTTTCCCGCTCTCTATATTCAGTAATCGCAAACAATGAAACAAGAAGGTAGTTGGATGCATACTGTTTTATTTTAGCATGCACGAGAACGACATCATATGGAAAATTGAGAACTGGAGTCGCGCAAACATCAAGGGAAGACATCAGGTAGCTTAAGTATGAAGAGGAAAAATCTATGACGGCAATCACCAGGACCAGAAAAGTATTGTGGTGCAACTCACAATCATCATGAAGTGCGAATGCCAGCACCAGATAGATAATTCCGCCTTGATGACTCAGTACCCATATTCACGTCTAGTACATTTCGAGTCAGATTAGGTAACAAATTGAGCTAAACAGATATCGATTTGGTCTGTTGTGTCAACAGCTTGGTCCTTCCGATGAACCAAGTTGAGCCAGGCGATTGTCACATGCAGCTACCTTCGTGCGGTCGTTTCTTTGGCCAAGCGCCGCCAGCCAATAGCACATCGGATGCATACTAGACATAACAACGGGTACGCATGTACACGGCACGCGGATATAGGTGAATCACTACAGCTCGGAGTTCCTTGTGTGCGACTTGTCGGATGGGTGGTGACGCATTACATGACGGGGTTGGGGGTAATAACATCTTAATGTCTGAGCTCACCCACATCAAGTTAAGAAGAAGCAGGGTCAGTGTAGGATATTGAGTCGGCCGGTGACCGAGTAGGATTTGCATCTGGTTTGCAGCCACAAGGTTACCGGTTCGAATACGCATAAGGGCGGGCATCTTCGCGGTATATTTAACCCACGAGTGACTGTTGGTGGTCGTGTGGCAGCGAAGCACCGTTGCGGCGTGCGGCTGGCGATTTATCTTTATTACTATTATTATGATAATGAATTTGGACGCGATTCACAACACCATCATAACATAACCTGTTGTCAAATAGGGCCACTAGCTACTCGCATTCTGACACAGCCGACGTTCCTTAGCTGAACCCCAGACGCTTGTCCGTACGACCTATCGCGTACTGTGGACACATGGCATGCACGGGCAACAGGCAGCATACGAGTGGTGCATTGAAGCGCGGGGAGTCATAGCTTACTTTGGTCAAACTGCTAAATCGCATGTGCACCGGTGGACATAGACACCGTCACTGGTGCGATAAGCACAGCGCAGCAAGCTTTCTGGCGTCATGTGATTGCGATGGACGACGTATCAACATGGGCAGTAAGATTGGAACGCAGCTGATATACGAGTTGTCTTAGTGCTTGTTCCACGGCTAGCATGCAATACGCTTCAAAGCAACGTGTGAAAGTTTCATAGTACTGTTTAGTAGGGGCAATGAAGTGAATGCTCAACGAGTCCCGTAGGTTGGTAAAGTGTGGACCACAAAATCCACAGATGGTGGTGCTACCACGGTTAGGCGTATACTAATGCTGCGGTGATACCATGATGTACTATGGGTGGAGGAGTAGTAATGCAAGACGAGTCTGAGAATCAGATGTCTACCTAAGGAGCGCCTTATGGGCTCCTTGTACGCTGCCGCGTGCTCAAGCAGGTTGCAAATCGAGGAATGCCTTCCGTCTGAGGGCAAGTGGGCATGATTCTCGCTTGTTCCGCAGATAAGTTTAATAGTCAGCTGCGGACAATCAGCACAGCATCTCAGAGAGTGGGGGAGCTCGAGTCTAGCCATCTGGTTATGCATTAAATACCACAAGAAATCGTACAACTATGTGACAAGGCAGTGTTTCCGGCTATATGTCCAGTGACCACCCATCCTTTTAACCAGAATGAGATACCTGATGGAGGGCGGATGACCCACCTCTGTGTGGACTACGATCGAACACCAAGAAGGCGCTTGAGCCACCTGGCTGTGGACTGTTTTTGCATTCAGCAATAATTCGGATGTACCAGTAAACGTTTCCCGGTCCCCTTACTGCTATACTCGTACTGTTCCGGCGCAATGGGTAGTTTGTCGTTATTTGATGGTCGTGTTATCGGCTGTCGACCGTTCGTGATATACGTTAATCCCCTCACTGCTTTGCGGGTAAGGTCTTTAAGAACTAAGGCGCTGGCTCTGGTTACGTAAGTTAACCCCCTTCCCCTACCTGGATAACTGAAAAGCATTATGTGCGCATAACACACTAGCACATAAATTAACCTAATCCTCGGATCGTTTAAAATACTTACTTTTTACTTTATTTTACTGGAGCTAGCTCCTGCGACGGGATGAGCCGGCTTTATGAATGTCACGGATTGCAGCTGCCCAAGCGCGGCGGTCGGCAGCAAGCCCCAAGAAGATCCTGATCCAATGATTCCTCCACCTACGAGCACCATAAACAACATGGAGTCCCATAAGATCGACTTCCAATTTCACTGCAGCGAGCCACCTTTTCAATTGCCCACCATGAGGATGACACCAACCCTGGCAAGGCGAGGGTGAAATCACGACCCTAGTGAAGTCAGTGTCTGGTCTGCGGAGGACGTGACTGAATCACTGAAATCTGCGGCGTTGGATGAACGCTGAGAACGTCGGAAGAGCGTAACCGCTCTTCCGATTTATGGATTTAGTCACTGGTGATACGCCTATGCCACTGTGTGTTCAAGACAAGACTAATGGTCGAAAACGTCCAGCTTCCGGGTTTCCTTGGATTGCAGCGGTCATGTTCCGCAAGCTCAGAGTAACATGGCATGAGTGGTTGCTGAGAATAGTCGGATCTTCGTTCTCAGACTAATTTCCGTCCTTTGCCAAAATGTGTTTCTGAGTGGTAAGAAGGCTGTTCTAGCGCTGTCAATACGATTCCGGATTTCGGATATAGCCTGACCATTGGGTAGTATAGTGGATCCAAGATACTTGAGTTCGGGAACAGATTGGATGAGTAAGGAGAGCGACGAGGGGGACTAGGTGGCTAAGGATGAGAAGTATTTCGTCTTGCTAATGTATTTTCAATGCCACTCATAGAGGCTGATTGGTCGACCCGATTTAGCAGTGACTGTAGTGATATAGCATCTTCTGCAAGGTTAGCGATATGGTCAACAAATTCTAGATCTGACGACCAGAAGTCAGAGCTAAATTGAAAACCACGATAGCCCTAAAGAGCATGATACATAACTCAATCGATGGCGAAGTTGAGCAGCACTGGAGAAAGTGAGCAACGCTGCCGGACTCCAGTATTGATGTCGAATTCCTCTGTTTCTTCTCCATAGACCTGAATCCGGTCCTTCGTGTAACGACAGTATGATCTCAAGTTAACGAGTTTAACCGGCACGCCTTCGGCAAAAAGGATTTTCCAGAGTGCTTCACGTTCAACGGAGTCAAACGTAGCTCGAAAATCAACGAAGCACACAAACGTGAGCTGCTGGAACTGGTACCGGTGTCCGAGTATCCGACGTAGGGTGAATATTTGATCAGTGCAGCCTCTGCCTCGTCGGAAGTCACCTTGGTTGTGGCGAGTTTGCAGGTTCCTCTCATTGGCGAAGCGGGAAAGCAAGATTCATGCGAAAGATTTTGTAACCACATCGATTAGACCAATTCCGCGAATATTATTGCACACAGTTCGGTCACCTTTCTTTGGAAATGGCAGAAGTACTGAGGTACTCTACGAGGAAG